GGATTTAACCCGTGTGTGTGTGTGTGTGTGTGTGTGTGTGTGTGTGTGTGTGTGTGCGTGCGCAAGCAAAGTTCTTTGGGAAACCCAAAATGGATCTTCTGTGGCATTGCTGTGAAAAAATAACCCTTTTGGAACCTTTATTTTTAAGAGTTTAGTCCATTTTTGTAAAGGTATCCATGAATAGAAAATATATAGAAATAGAAATATCCTCAGTGTCCTTCCCTGATGGGGTTTGTCTCCATAGAAACCGAGAGGAACATGATGACGAAGTTCTGGAAGGAACATTCCAAGTTCGCAACAGTAGAGGAGATGATGCTGGATTCAAACGCTCAGGAACTGACCCAACACGAGCTGCCAGAGATTCTCTCCCTGCTCCCTTCTCTGGCTGCTTCTGATGTACTGGAACTTGGTGCTGGAATTGGGTCAGTAATGGCATTGTCTTTGACTTTGGATTCCGATGAGACCTGCACATTTCTGATGTTTGGGTTAACCATACGATCAAGTCCAAGTCATATTTCACCTTGAAATCAAAATAGCTGTTAATGTTTTGCATAAAGAAAATGAGACCTGTTTTTATGATGTAACATTATTTTCATGACAGACTGTCCCAAATTTAATTACCGTGATGCATCCAGATGTTTTACTTGAGGGCTTTTTCTGTCATTCTCATTATTTCCAATGCACTTGTGATCCTCATTAGATTCTCATTAATAGGATAGTTTTCATATTAGAAATCGAATCATCATAAACTGAAGGCATCACAACAAAAACTACCATAATGTATGAAAACTTTATATTTTTTACAAGATATCAAAGATATATACAAACAACAATGTAAAAAATGATGAGATCAATAAGTCACGGCAACATATGTTTTTCTATTACTTGAACTCATCGAAACAACTGAACCAATTTCAACGTCCTTTTTTTTGCAGATGCAACAAGACAGGATTTTTAAAAATGAGTTGAAATGACAGCCAATTTTTAATATACTTTGAAAAATGAGGCAGTAACAATGCTTAAGTTTTAAAGAAAAATTAGGCAAACATTTTTTTACAGTAAAAATATAAGTCCTATCATTATTTTTCACAGAACTGCAGGAATGCTGGAAATTGTACTTAATAGTAAAAAAAAAATTCACAATGTAAAACATCTTGAAAGTTCTAAAAAAGCCTTCACTGTTTCTTGTCCAGTACTGAGCTTTTAAGCATGGTTTATTTGCTACATTGTTATCATGACCTTTGCTCTTTTCAGTCGGTACACACGTCACCTCATTGGCAAGGCCCGTCACGTGACCGCTGTGGACTTCATGGAGAAGTTTGTGGAAAAGAACAGAAAGGACAACAGTCACCTGGGCAACACTGAGTTCATCCAAGCTGATGTCACAAAGCTGGACTTCCCTAAACACAGGTGAGAGAAAACATCAATATATTCAATCCTATACACACAGCTACAGTGTGAGCAGAATTATTATGCCAGCCAACATTCTGATCATATTTTTTTCCAAGCACATTTGACCAATTCCAAACCATATCAATCTTAATAACTACTATTAATTTTGTATATAATAATTTATTTGCGATATATAATTGTTAAAGAGCGCAGTGAAAAAGTCTTATATGTGACCATGGACCACAAAACCAGTCATAAGGGTCAATCTGAGGTTGCAAAAAAAATCAAAATATTGAGAAAATCGCCTTTAAAATTGTCCAAATGGTGTTCTTAGCAAAGCATATTACTAATCAAAAATTAAGTTTTAAAATATTTACAGTAAGAAATTTACTAAATATCTTGGAACATGATCTTTACTTAATATCCTAATGATTTTTGGCATAAAAGAAAAATCAATAATTTTGACCCATACAATGTATTTTTGGCTATTGCTAAAAATATACCCAAGCGACTTAAGACTAGTTTTGTGGTCCAGGGGTACATATTCAGATATGTATAATTATTAAGCAGAGTCACAAAAAACAGTTTGAGATGAAAAGATATTAAAGGCAAAAGACATTAAGAATTAAGATGAAGAATTAGGTGTTAAACCATGAATGAAACCATCAGGAACCCTTTATTCTCCAGTGCCACTATTTTCCAGAACTGCAAACTAGTCTCCAGACGTACAAGGTGTCAGGTTCTCTGAGACTTTCACAAGCTGAAGCGTCATGAAATAGATGAAGACTGATTTTTTTAAAGGTTTTCTAGGCAGATAAGTTAAGAGTGCCATTGCTGTGATTCTAATTTTAGAAAGCATTGATTGGACAAACTTTTGGCTACACCCCTAAGGAGTCATCAGTATTTTTGGTCTATTTTCCTAGAAAATAAATTAAATTGTGTATACAGTATGTAAAGTGTTAGTGTACAAGAGCTCACAGCTTCAGTCTTGAATATACTTTAAAACTGCTTTATTGGCATTGATGGTTCCATGAAGAACATTTAACACCCATGGAATCGTTCCATTCCACAAAAGTTTCTTTATAGCAGAAAAAGGTACTTTAGATTATTATTCAATTTTAATTTCATGGGGTATAAAAAGATATGAGAAGGTACATCCCATCTCATTTGATGTCTTTCTCCATCTTCCACTTCATCTCTCTGGCACTTTCTGTTTCAGTTTTGATGTGGTCTTCTCTAATTGGCTGTTGATGTATCTGAGTGATCAGGAGCTGAAATCATTGGCTGAGAAGCTCCTCATGTGGCTCCGCCCAGGTGGCTACCTGTTCTTCAGAGAGTCCTGCTTTCACCAGTCAGGTTAGAGAAACAATGCCCTATAATTTGACACTTAATGGCAATGATTTCTTTATTTTCTATTTTCACAAATGATACTGTCATCTTGTTTTCTGATTGGTGACAAAACAATGTGATAAAAATCTAAATGAATAAGCACTTACTGTCACAAACATGTACAGGTGCATCTCAATAAATTAGAATGTCGTGGAAAAGTTCATTTATTTCAGTAATTCAACTCAAATTGTGAAACTCATGTATTAAATAAATTCAGTGCACACAGACTGAAGTAGTTTAAGCTGAGAGACTATTTTGAAGGCTCAGGAAACCTTTGCGGGTGTTTTGAGTTGATTAGCTGATTGGCATGTCAGCATATTCTAATTTGTTGAGATAGTGTATTGGTGGGTTTTTGTTAAATGTGAGCCAAAATCATCACAATTAAAAGAACCAAAGACTTAAACTACTTCAGTCTGTGTGCATTGAATTTATTTAATACACGAGTTTCACAATTTGAGTTGAATTACTGAAATAAATGAACTTTTCCACGACATTCTAACTTATTGAGATGCACCTGTATTGCTAGAAAATATAGTTATGCAAATAAATTATGAACACTTTAAACATGGTTCATTATTATTATTAGCATTATTGGAGCCTGAAACAGGTTATTGAACACAAAAATGTAGGGCTGGACATGATTTATTTCATCATTGGAAAAAAAAAATTAGAGACACAAGAAGTTATAGCATTTTTTAACAGTTACAAGAACAAATATATATTTTTCCTTCGTATAGTGGTGTTATATTAGTATAATTGAGATGCTATTATATTTTTATTAATATTTTGAATTTGTTTTTATATTTTATATAAATATGTTGTTTTTGTTTTTCTTTTAGAAAAACATTTTTTTAGTTTTATTAAAGTTAATTTGTTGTGTGTGTATTAGTTTTTGTTTTGTTTTAAATATTAAATATTATTTTATTTCAGCTTTAGTTTCAGTTATTTTAGTACATCAGGATAAACTAAATGAATATGAGAAATGTTGCCTTGGCAACTAGCTGAAATAAAATAAGTGTAAAGCTGTTTTATATTTTATGTGAGTTACAGTTATAACCCTATAGCATGCACTGATCACCATGCTTTAATTATTGCTTTCATTACAGCTTTAAAGTAGCATAATGAAGATGATTTTAATATTATAGAAGTTTTAAGTTTTTCTATAGATTTTAATGTTTGTCTTTTTGACATCCACAGGTGACTGCAAGCGGGATTTTAACCCCACACTCTACAGAAGTCCTGCTTACTACAACCACCTGATGACGTCAGTCCTGCAGGACGAATCAGAGAAGACGGAGAAGAAATGCTACGGGTTTGACATGGTGGTCAATAAGACAGTTCAGACCTATGTGAAGGTAAACCAGTCAGTCAGCAAACTATTCTAAGGACATGAACTCTGTATAAAAAATTGAACTGAAAGTGTTTTGTCTTAGGTGAAGAACAACCAGAACCAGTTGTGCTGGCTCATGCAGAAAGTTCGTCGTGATGTGGTTCAGCAGCATCAAGGCGGCTTTTCCACGTTCCAGGAGTTTCTAGATAACCAGCAGTACACCAGAAGAGGAATCTTACGTTACGAGAAGATGTTCGGATCAGGATACGTCAGTACAGGCGGAATCAGCACGACCAAGGTCAGGGATGCAGAATACATAGGGTCGTACATCTTCAGAGGTGCCATGTGATGTAAATTTAAAAAAAATAATAATAAAAAAGAAAGAAAGAATATAAGTTAGTAAGAAAGAAAGAAAGAAAATCAAGCAATAATTATAATATAATAATAATAATAATAATTATTATTATTATTATTATTATTATTATTAAATACAACCTACTTTTTCAAAAGTTTCCCTTCTGTACCTTATTTACCCCTCAGAGATGCATATTAGTACCTTAAAGGTATATTAATTCCTAAATGGTACATATTAGTACTTTTTAAAAAGGCACTCCCAAGTGATAGCTTTCTGAGAGTGTATGAATATAAGTTATAAGGCTATATAATAATATTACAGCTCAGTCAGTAGTTCAGTGAACAACATGTTAATTGTGAGTGAAGTATATTTATTTAGATACACTATTACCATTTACTTTGTTTGTTGGCTTTGCTCTGCCAACGAAAATAGTTCCAAACAACGATACAGCAGAACCGTTGCAAAACCGAGCAATATTTGGTCCTGAATCGTTCATTGAATTGTTTTATATGAATCGTTGAATGAATGACTTAGTCACTTAATTGTTTCCATTCTGAATGAATAGATGTTTTTATTATGAATAAGTTGAATGAATGATGCAAAAATTCGTTCATAAAAACAGCCACTTGTTTGGTTCCCGGTGAGTATGTATTTTTGAACGAATCTGTTCAATTGATGAATGATCAATGATTCAATAACTCATTTATAAAGACAGCAGCTTGTTTTGTTTCAAAATAAATCAGCATTTTAGAACGAATCACAGTTAAATGAATGATTCAGGGACTCATTTGTTAAGACAGCCGCTTGTTTTTTTCATGAATGAAAACACATTTTTGCTCGAATCTGTTGAATAAATGATTAATTGGCTCCTTTGTAAAGATGGCCACTTATTTAGTTCCTGAATGCATAGGGTTCCCTATTGATACTTCACTCGTGCGTCTGCTAAGACGCTATGGGGAAAACTCCTTTTTCTCCGATGACTGAAGCCTTTTTTAATAACGCAGTGTAACTGCACGACCACTGGTTTGTGCAGTGAAATAAAAATGAACCAATGGCTTGGCAGCGGAGCTGCACAAGCCTATGGCGATGAAGCCTGCCAGAGCCCGGACGCTATGGGGAAAACTCCTTTTTCTCCGATGACTGAAGCCTTTTTTAATAACGCAGTGTAACTGCACGACCATTGGTTTGTGCAGTGAAATAAAAATGAACCAATGGCTTGGCAGCGGAGCTGCACAAGCCTATGGCGATGAAGCCTGCCAGAGCCTGCCAATATGGGCGGGGCCATCTGGCTATATAAGCGGGCATGTCGCCATAGGATTCTCAGATTTCTTCTCCTTTAGCGACGATGACGATCTTCGCTGAGACTATGATACTTGAATCTTTCGCCGTAGAAACGCCTCGCAGCGGATCAAGACCCCCTCTGCTCGGCTGAATTTGCCGCTCTCGCAGCCGCCTTCAGCGCACGCAGCACCGGTCTTTTGGATCCCCTGCCACCATCCGGCGATCTCTAAAAGAGCGAATTTAAAAGAGCAAATTACGTGGCATTGTTTCAAATGCTGTCCCGTTTCTGTCGCTCGTGCAGGGCTTCCCTACATGCCTCTGATGGTCACGGCGAGTGCCTGGGGAAATCCCATGCTGAGGATGCACTCCTTTACGATTTTCCCCCGATAGCCCTGATCCCGCAGGTAATCAGGCGAATCAGGGAGCAAGTGCACAGGGTTCTGTTGGTAGTCCCGCTCTGGAGGAACCAACACTGGTTCGCAGAGCTGTCCCAGCTGCTTGTAGCAGCTCCATGGCCCATTCCCCTGAGACAAGACCTCCTTTCTCAAGCGAACAGAACGATATGGCACCCCCAGCCCGAGCTGTGGGCTCTGCACCTCTGGCCTCTCGATGGGAGCCTGCAGACCTCCCCGAGAGCGTATTAAATACAATCTCTCAGGCTAGAGCACCGTCCACGAGATGCCTCTACGCCCTTAAATAGTTGGTCTTCTCCATCTGGTGCACGACCCGCGGCAAAGACCCAGCTTCCTGTGACATATCTCGGATATTGTCCTTCCTGCAAGAGCTGTTTGACAAGGGCCGTTCCCCTTCCACGCTCAAGGTCTATGTAGCAGCCATAGCAGCCTATCACGCTCCTGTAGCCGGCCAATCGGTGGGCAGGAACAACCTGGTTGTTCGCTTCTTAAAGGGGTCTAGAAGGCTTAACCCGCCTCGCCCCGCCACAGTCCCTACATGGGATCTGTCCACAGTGCTGAGGGCCCCCCCCACCTTGAGCTGCTACAATCCATTGACGTTCGTTCCTTGACGCTAAAAAATGTTCTGCTACTGGCGTTAGCATCGTTAAAGCGGATGGAAGATCTGCAGGCGCTCTCTGTGAGCCCCTCTTGCCTTGAATTCGGGCCCAACAACTCTAAGGTCGTCCTGAAACCAAGGCTCAGGTACATACCTAAGGTGCTCTCCACTACGTTCAGAGCCCAGGTGATAACTCTATCGACACTTCCTCCCTCGGAGGATGACCAGGAGTTGAATTTACTCTGCCCCGTCAGGACATTAAGGATCTATATCAAGCATTCCGCCCCAATCAGGCAGTCGGAACAACTCTTTATATGCTTTGGTGGCCGCACCAAGGGGTTTCCGGTCACTAAGCAGAGACTCTCCAGATGGATAGTTGACGCTATTGAGCTAGCATACTCCTCTTTTGGCCTACACTGCCCCATGGGAGTAAGAGCCCATTTGACTAGAGGTATGGCCTCGTCTTGGGCTTGGTCTAGCGGTGTGTCCATTGCAGAGATCTGTGCGGTGGCTGGCTGGGCCTCGCCGTCCACATTTGCCAGGTTCTATAATCTGGACGTCCGCATTTCTGGGCTCAGTCTTGCCTTAGGGCAAACCAGTACTTATGCTTTGCCACCCTACGCTCTTGGCCCTCACCGAGTGCCGAGGCTGTAGGGTTTTTTTTTTTCTTGGAACGTTTACTTATGGCTGGGCTGACCTCTGCGAGTTTAGCCCTATTGCCTCCTGCGGGGCTTTCCCTGCAAATTACTTGGTCCCTCTGGGCCCCTTGTGGTGCTTAAGGCAAGTATGAGTCGTTCCTCTAGCATAGCATGGCGGGATTGCGCCACCTATTGGAGAAACTATGTAACTTTCAGAAAGGTCACTGAATTAGTATTGCGTCATGACTCAGATTTTACTTTGGATATCAAGTGGCAAACAAAGAAAGTACCAAAACTGTCTAGCAGACTAAAGTGTTTGCAGTAAAATATCATTGCATATTCCTCATTTTTGGCTCATGGCACAGCAGTGGAAAACTACTGCTCTCTGCATTCTCAGTGTTATCAACCTCGTAGCAAATCACACACTACTCAGAACAGCTTACCAACTGTATAGTAACACCCTGGCAACCATACAGATCACTATAGCAACCCCAAAGCAAATCACACACTACTCAGAACAGCTTACCAACTGTATAGTAACACCCTGGCAACCACACAGATCACTATAGCAACCCCAAAGCAAATCACACACTACTCAGAACAGCATTTCAACTGTATAGCAAGACCCTGGCAACTGCCCACAACACGCTATTAACCACCTATAACAACCTAGTAACTGCATAGCAACACCCTGGCAACCACATAGCAAAACCCATCAAACTACTCAGAACAGCTTAGTAACCACATAGCAACACCCTAGAAACCACCTATAACAATCTAGCAACAGTATAGCAACACCCTGGTAAGCACCTATAGCACAATAACAAACACTTATATCAAGCTAGCATCTGCATAGCAACACCCTGACAACCATCCAGAAAACCCTAGCAACTACATAGCAAATTACAACAAACTACAGCTTCACAACTGCATAGCAGTACCTTGGCATCCACCCACAACACCCGAGCAACCACCTACAACAACCTAGCAACCATGTATCAACACCCTGGTAATTGTCCACAGCACCATGGCAACCAACTATATCAGTCTATCATCTGCATAGCAACACCCTGACAACCACCCAGAAAACCCTAGTATCTACATAGCAAAGTGGAACAAACTAGTAGCTTCACAACTGCATAGCAACACCCTGGCACCCACCTATAACAACATAGCAACTGCATAGCAACACCCTGGTAACCACACACAACACTCTGGTAACCACCTATTACAACTAGGTTGTTACTACGTAGCAACACCCTGGTAACCACCCATAACACCATAGCTGCCACCAATAACAACCTAGCAACTGCATTGCAACCTCCTAGCATCTTGACACCAAGTTTTTCCACAGGAAATATAAAAATCTCTTTTAAAATGGTAAATAGTATTACATGAAATAAAAAGAGTACATACATTCTAAATTTGTATCCACCTTATTCTTCAACACAGAAGTAAGCCTATGGGAGAGACTTCCGGTTCATTAGCCGCTATAGGGAAATAACAAGAATAATAACAATGTGCAACGGTAAAACTTTTTTACACTACAAACCAGTGTGTTCATAATAAAGATAATACATTAAAATAAAAAGGTAAGACTGACCAATTTGCAGTATCAAGCAGCAAAACGAGCTGTTTTGTACAGCTAAAAATAGCTGGACGCAGATGACACCGGAAGCCAGACCCATAAAAATTACAAATGGCCGCGCCCACTCTTACGGGAAGAATAAGGTGGATAGCTTTGAGAATGAACAGAGCTGCATTCTGGGAAAGCTTTGAGTGTGCTCTGCACTCCCTGATAGTAGAGTAACTGTCTGACCTCCCTCTGCAGGTGCAGTTTGAGGTGTCAGATGCCACAAAAAGAAAGTTTCCTGACAGCACCTTTGATGTGGTTTACAGCAGAGACACAATTCTGCACATCAGGGACAAACTTGACCTCTTCAGAAAGTTTTATGTGAGTGTTTACACATAAACACCTGCATGTGTGTATATTTTCATGACTGTCACTTAATATGTTACAGAAGTAGCATACTGTATATTTGTGTGTGTGCATAAGGGTTGTGTGTGTGTGTGTGTGTGTGTGTGTGTGTGTGTGAGGATATACAAATGATTATCTGGGTGCTGTAGGTGTAAATATACTGTCAGTGGGAAGCAGGTGTTCCAGTGAACATATGCGTGTAAGTGATTGTGGTTTTAACAGTTAATATCACCTTGATCCTTCTTTATTTTTTACTAAGACTCAAATGAGATTACACATTATGTATGGCTTATAAAAACAAGCCTTTGCTTTTGTATTGAACTATTGAGGATGCAATCCAAATAGGCAAATGCAATGATGTACAGTAAGCAAATGCTGACATGGAGAATAATTCTCAGGAAATAAGAGCACAGGTCAAAATGAATGTGCGTTTTCTGCCCTCTAGTGGACAACGTAGGTATTGTCGTAGAAGTACATGATGAAAGAATGCATTTTGGAGTACACTTTTCTTTTAATGTGTATATGCATGTGTGTTTCAGTCATGGCTGAAGCCGGGTGGGAAACTTCTTATCAGTGACTACTGCTGTGGAGAGAAGCCTTGGTCTCCCGCGTTTCAGGATTACGTTAATCAGCGGGGATATATACTCTACACACCTCAGAGATATGGACAAGTACAGACCTCATAAAATCATAGTGTACTATTAAAGCTTGTTTGGACTGAGATTTAGTATTGATCTGTTATGTAATGCTGATATCGGTCACTACAGTGCTGCATATGCCAAAAAGCTGGCATAGGAACAAACAGCTTGTTTATGCTGAGTGTGTTTGTGTGTGTTTTTCAGTTCCTGAGCGAGGTGGGATTCAGTAATGTTCGCGCTGAAGACAGAACAGAGCAATTTATTCAGGTCATAAAGGCTGAACTGCAGAGAGCTGGGGAGATGAAAGAGGAGTTTATACAGGTTAACACACACTTATGTGCAACATCTACATTACATTTACAACCACACATTTGCATGCTGTTGGAGGAAATCATTTTCCCGTTTTTCCCCTCCTTTTTATTTAAGCCACATTTGCAGACACTGAAAACATGTTTCACTTTCATTTAGGAATAGTTCACCCAAAAATGCAAATGCACTCACCCTCATGCCATTCAAGATGTAGATGAGTTTGTTCATGGAAACAGATTTAGAGAAATGTAGCATTCCATCACTTGCTCACCAATGGATCGTCTGCAGTGAATGGGTGCCGTCAGAATGAGAGTCCAAACAGCTGATAAAAACATCACAATAATCCACAAGTAATATTATGACGAGAGGACACATATTTTATCCAGAAGCAACAGTTTAAAGTTAAAAATGTCTTAATGATGGATTTGTTTCTTACATACATGCAGCTTTTAACTTCACAAGATGTTAATTGATGGACTGGAGTGGTGTGGATTACTTGTGGATTATTGTGATGTTTTTATCAGCTGTTTGGACTCTCATTCTGACGGCACCCATTCACTGCAGAGGATCCATTGGTGAGAAAGTGATGGCAACCACATAGCAAAACCCATCAAACTACTCAGAACAGCTTAGTAACCACATAGCAACACCCTAGAAACCACCTATAACAATCTAGCAACAGTATAGCAACACCCTGGTAAGCACCTATAGCACAATAACAAACACTTATATCAAGCTAGCATCTGCATAGCAACACCCTGACAACCATCCAGAAAACCCTAGCAACTACATAGCAAATTACAACAAACTACAGCTTCACAACTGCATAGCAGTACCTTGGCATCCACCCACAACACCCGAGCAACCACCTACAACAACCTAGCAACCATGTATCAACACCCTGGTAATTGTCCACAGCACCATGGCAACCAACTATATCAGTCTATCATCTGCATAGCAACACCCTGACAACCACCCAGAAAACCCTAGTATCTACATAGCAAAGTGGAACAAACTAGTAGCTTCACAACTGCATAGCAACACCCTGGCACCCACCTATAACAACATAGCAACTGCATAGCAACACCCTGGTAACCACACACAACACTCTGGTAACCACCTATTACAACTAGGTTGTTACTACGTAGCAACACCCTGGTAACCACCCATAACACCATAGCTGCCACCAATAACAACCTAGCAACTGCATTGCAACCTCCTAGCATCTTGACACCAAGTTTTTCCACAGGAAATATAAAAATCTCTTTTAAAATGGTAAATAGTATTACATGAAATAAAAAGAGTACATACATTCTAAATTTGTATCCACCTTATTCTTCAACACAGAAGTAAGCCTATGGGAGAGACTTCCGGTTCATTAGCCGCTATAGGGAAATAACAAGAATAATAACAATGTGCAACGGTAAAACTTTTTTACACTACAAACCAGTGTGTTCATAATTAAGATGATTGGCTTACATTAAAATAATATAGTAAGACACATCAATTTGCAATATCAAGCAGCAAAACGAGCTGTTTTGTACAGCTAAAAATAGCTGGACGCAGATGACACCGGAAGCCAGACCCATAAAAATTACAAATGGCCGCGCCCACTCTTACGGGAAGAATAAGGTGGATAGCTTTGAGAATGAACAGAGCCGCATTCTGGGAAAGCTTTGAGTGTGCTCTGCACTCCCTGATGGTAGAGTAACTGTCTGACCTCCCTCTGCAGGTGCAGTTTGAGGTGTCAGATGCCACAAAAAGAAAGTTTCCTGACAGCACCTTTGATGTGGTTTACAGCAGAGACACAATTCTGCACATCAGGGACAAACTTGACCTCTTCAGAAAGTTTTATGTGAGTGTTTACACATAAACACCTGCATGTGTGTATATTTTCATGACTGTCACTTAATATGTTACAGAAGTAGCATACTGTATATTTGTGTGTGTGCATAAGGGTTGTGTGTGTGTGTGTGTGTGTGTGTGTGTGTGTGTGAGGATATACAAATGATTATCTGGGTGCTGTAGGTGTAAATATACTGTCAGTGGGAAGCAGGTGTTCCAGTGAACATATGCGTGTAAGTGATTGTGGTTTTAACAGTTAATATCACCTTGATCCTTCTTTATTTTTTACTAAGACTCAAATGAGATTACACATTATGTATGGCTTATAAAAACAAGCCTTTGCTTTTGTATTGAACTATTGAGGATGCAATCCAAATAGGCAAATGCAATGATGTACAGTAAGCAAATGCTGACATGGAGAATAATTCTCAGGAAATAAGAGCACAGGTCAAAATGAATGTGCGTTTTCTGCCCTCTAGTGGACAACGTAGGTATTGTCGTAGAAGTACATGATGAAAGAATGCATTTTGGAGTACACTTTTCTTTTAATGTGTATATGCATGTGTGTTTCAGTCATGGCTGAAGCCGGGTGGGAAACTTCTTATCAGTGACTACTGCTGTGGAGAGAAGCCTTGGTCTCCCGCGTTTCAGGATTACGTTAATCAGCGGGGATATATACTCTACACACCTCAGAGATATGGACAAGTACAGACCTCATAAAATCATAGTGATTACTTGTGGATTATTGTGATGTTTTTATCAGCTGTTTGGACTCTCATTCTGACGGCACCCATTCACTGCAGAGGATCCATTGGTGAGAAAGTGATGTAATGCTACATTTCTCTAAATCTGTTCCTATGAACAAACAAACTCATCGGCATGTTTGTTAGCCTGAGGGTGAGTACATTTTCAGAACATTTCATTTTTTTAGGTGAACTATTCCTTTAAAGTTTGTATGAATATTGTTGGAAAGGAAACAGCTTCTAAAATGTTGCACACGTATACTGTGAAATCTCTTGTAATCTCTGTCTCCACAGGAGTTCTCTCAGGAAGACTATGATGCCGTTGTAAATGGATGGACAAAAAAACTGCAGCGCTGTGAGACTGGAGACCAACGCTGGGGGCTTTTCTATGCCACCAAAGAATGAGAGAGAACAACAAACCAACTAATGATCAAATTCAAATCAATATATTTCAGATGCTATATAAAACTCACTGTTCTAATTCTGTGAATTGCACAACAGTACAGAAAGATTTGAGTACTTTCAGAGCTGTAAGGCTGACATACTGTTATGCAGCATAAATTAATAAAATTAAACTTTTCTATATTATTTTTGTTTGTTGTTTTGATTTTATATGCATTTGCTTTTAATGTGTTTGATAAAATCCTAAAAATCCCATATGAAATTAAAGTCTACAGCTGTTATAATACTCAGTTAACTTTATGCCTTATTATAAACTACAGATAAACACTAGGGGTGTAACAATTCACTCAACTCACGATGCGATACGATTTATGATACTGATTTAACAATACGATTTTCTCACAATTTTTTTTAACAAAATGAGATTTAATAATTATAAAAGAAAAGGTGTCCGTTTATTATTTCTCAGACAAAATGCTGCACATTTCTTTGTAAAAATTGAAATATGTCAAAACTAAATTGAAATTTTAAAACAAATCCCAAATCAAATAAATAATAAATAAAATAAATCTCTTCATATAAACAATCTAAAGCTTTGCCTGTGCTCTTTAAATTAGACTGAATAATTTCTAAAAATTGAAGCAAAAACAGAATGTTCAGACTTTAGCTTTGTGAAATTATGTTACATAAAACATCTGCATGAAACAAAACCAGCAGACAGGCTGAATGAGATGCAGTTTCACTCTCTGACAGCAGGTGGCGCTTATGGAACATAAAAAATAATTTGATTCAAATTGATTGTTATTTTGTGTTTTTAATGATGATAGGCCTAATTATATTTACAGTACCATTCAAGTGTTTGGGGTCATTACGATTATAAGAAATGAAATACTTTAATTCAAGGATCCATAAATTGATCAAAAAAGACAGTTAAGGGCTTTTTGGCAGTAAATTAGCTTATTTGAAAAAAAGTGTAAAAACATTCATTTACAGAGTTTGTAAGCATGTTGGTGATTTTCAGTGCTATAGCTTTGGCAGTGTTGAGGTTTCTTTCACTCTCTATCTGACATACCCCATTGTCCCAAAGGTTAAAAAGACTTTTTAGGATGTATCCACGGGAATTTATACAGAAGAGATTTCAGTTTGTTCTCATTTCCTGGAACATTTAACACCCTTTTTACTGCTGCGATTTTACCTCGATTTTTTGGGTGGAAGCTTTTCATTATCTTTCAGTAAAAAAATAATAATATTTATCCCTTAGTTTTAGAAAATACACTGTTTTTAAGAATATATTGAATTCCCTGTTTTCTGACTGAACATGGTAATTTTGGTGGGGAAATATCACATTTACATATGTAAATGGAAGGAATTTAAACCCTCCTTTACTACAGCCTATTTTGTGAGAATATTTCAAAGTTTGCTTTCAGTAGAAAGATGGGAAACGTGTGCTTCTCCTCAAAATACTATTTTAGTGCTGTCCTGATTTATATCTTTGTTATAGTCATGAGTCCATTACACACACATATATATATATATA